AAGAGCATCAGAGGTGGTTGTCCAAACTATTAGGCTATGATTTTGAGATCCAAAAAGCCTGTTTTGGAGAATAAGGCGGCCGATGCTTTATCAAGATGCGTTGGGGAGATTCAGGAGTTGGTTGTGTCGGCACCATTGATAGTAGACGGGGGGGCCATTAAAGAAGAAAGTATGCTGAGCGAGGAGCTGAGGAAGATCAGGGAGGATCTGGAGAAGGACAAGAGCAGTCATCCTGGTTACTACATTGAAGGGGGGAGACTATTGTATCAAGGGAGGTTCGTGATGCCACGAACTTTCATACACATTCCCCATCTGTTGCAGGAATTTCATGGCAGCTCAGTCGGAGGTCACTCAGGAGTTCAGAAGACATATAGGAGGCTCGCAACGGAACTCTATTGGAAAGGAATGCATAAAGATGTGGAGGAGATGGTGGCGAGTTGTGAGGTCTGCCAAAGAAACAAATACATGGCCATGGCTCCAGGAGGTTTACTACAACCATTGGCACTTCCAAACAGAGTTTGGGAGGAAGTGTCCATGGATTTCATTGATGGCTTACCTAGGTCAGAAGGATTCACGGTCATTCTGGTGGTGGTGGACAGGCTCAGCAAGTATGCACACTTCATTCTCTTACGACATCCTTACACGGCGGTGACGGTGGCTGCGGCATTTATCAGGGAGGTGGTCAGGCTGCATGGGGTTCCAGAATTTATTGTGTCTGATCGAGACAAAGTGTTCCTCAGCCAATTTTGGAGGGAGCTGTTCAGGATGCAAGGCACGGTCCTCAAGAGAAGCACCGCCTACCATCCACAGACCAATGGGAAAACAGAGGTGGTGAACCGAAGTTTGGAAACTTACTTGAGGTGTTTTGCTTCAGAAACACCGCGGATGTGGGCCAAGTGGCTACCTTGGGTTGAATATTGGTACAATACGTCATACCATTCTGCCTCTCAGATGACCCAATTTAGAGTGCTGTATGGAAGGAATCCCCCACACTTAGTGCACTACGGGAAAGGAGTACACCGGTCTCGACAGTTGAGCAGTACATGGAGGAAAGGGACAAGGTGCTGGAACAATTAAAGAAGCATCTGATGAGGGCTCAACAGATCATGAAGAAGAAGGCAGATTCACACAGGAGAGACATGCAGTTTGAAGTGGGAGAGAAGGTATTCCTAAAACTACGACCCTACAGGCAAAGGACAGTAGCGAGAAGAAGGAATGAGAAATTGGCGCCAAGATATTTTGGTCCCTACGAAGTGTTGGACAAGATCGGAGCAGTGGCGTATCGTCTGAAGTTGCCCTCTTCTGCTACCATACACCCAGTGTTCCATGTGTCACAGCTGAGGAGAGCATTAGGGGAACATGTAGCTAGTGCGGAGCTACCAGCATCTTTGACAGAGGAGTTAGAGGTGATCATGGAACCTATAGAGTTGCAAGGAGTGAGGATTGATAAAAAAGGAAACAAGGAGGTGTTGATTAAATGGAAGAATCTTCCCGATTACGAAGCTACTTGGGAGCCTTATGAAATTGTGAAGCAACAGTTCCCCAATTTTCACCTTGGGGCAAGGTGAGTTTTTGGGAGGGGAGTAATGTTAGACCGGTCCAGGATGGGCCGGTTGGACCGGTCCAACAGAGACCGGTCCACTGCTATGCGAGACGGGCTGGGCGGAAACGACATCAAGAGGTGGAGCTTCCTGTGGACCCCACGTGGGATTAATTTTGATTTGGGAGGGAGAAATTTGAATGAGGGGGCTGTTTTAGGAAATCCATTATTGTCCTTTATGATTATTATTGTTTAATTAGGAGATTGGGGGGGGGGAATCGAAGAACGTTGTATCTTTCTTTGTTTTGCTTTCATTGCTAGTGAAATACAAGTTGTTTCTTGCGTTTTCTCTCAGATTTCCCTGTTTTCCTGCTGTTTTCTCTGCTGTGGACAGCAGTTTGCTGCTGTAAATTTATTGGTTTGGATTAGAATTACTTGTGAACTAAGTAATTCCTATCATAAACACTTGAAGATTTCAAGGAAATCTTACCAATTTCGGGAAAACAGCGAGAAAATTCTTCCAAACTCCAAGAAAAATAAGAAAACATTAGTTTTATTGCAAGAAATCAAATAGAACGGAAAGAAAATATCACAATATAGATGATCCTCAATTCGAGAGGAAGATCGATCTCACCCAATCCCTAAACACCGCCAGAGCCCAAGACACCAAGCACCATAACACCAAAATAGCCACCAATTCTCATATACTTTTATAGGAAGTGGATGCAATTTCTCGAAATCAGCGAAAGACAATAAGAAATTATGAAGAAAAACATTCCAAAAATATTTTTATTACAAGATTTATGAAAGAAAATAGCAAGATACAATTGGATATTCAATTGGAGAGGAAGATCCAGCTCTCCCAAATCCCTAGCCGTCGGCTAAAGCCCAAATAACCTAAGAATAAACTAAATTCAGCAAACTCTCAAAACATAATATGAAATCCCCTATTTTTAGTCTTAAATAGGCTCCCATAATTCCCTCCCAAATCAGCCCTCTTTCTCTAAATAATTCCCTTTCAGATTTGAATTCAAATTAGATTTATTTCCCAAATTAATTCCCTACCAATTATAATTAAAACTTTATTTATTCTTCCTTTTTCCTAAATAATTCCATCTTAGATTTTGAATTCAAATTAGATCTCTTGCTTAAATAATTCCCTCCCAATTGTAGTTTAAACATTCCTAAATAATTTCCCTTTGATTAAGAACCATCATAAACAGCTCATTCTTGATTAGGAAACTTCTTGATTCCTTCCCAATCAAATCGGTCGGTCCATCATCTACTTACACCAAAAATTATATCTAAACACAATTTCATAGATATTCTTATAATATCATCATCCAATATAATAAAAGCCGCTAATATATAATGTTTATTCTAAACCAAAAACAACAATTCTAATAATGTTTACCAATCATTCGTATAATGTAAATACCATTCTCTTGTAACACCATGTTTAGAATATGCCAAAGTGGTATAACTTTCACGAATGAATCACTTCATGGAATCTTTCTATGTTGGGCGAAACCATTCATTTGAGTTCCATTTTTTAGTTGCTGTGCTATAACAGCTGCTTGTCTTGCTTTTATATGTTATCATTGTGAGTTTTAAGCATATTTCTTGTAATAATCTTTTTCCAGTACTGTTTGACAGAGGTATAATTATTGCACCAACTACTGCACAATATCTACCTCAAGCATGGAGGGGTGCAGTTGTTCTTTCTCTTGTGTGGTTTCTCCATAGATGGAAAACTAATGTTTTTACCCGTGCTATGGAAAAGCCATCTGTGGTTGGTCTTGATCGAGACAAGCTCTTAACATTAGAGAAAATTTCTTCTACGGGCCTTCTTGTATTAGGAGCAATAGCTCTAGCTGAGGCGTGTGGTGTGGCTGTGCAGTCAATTTTAACTGTTGGCGGCATAGGAGGTAATAATGTCAATCATGTTTTTCTTGTGAACCTTTGAATGAAATTTGCTATATTTATCAACAATATTGTTGTAGATGCTAGCCTGGCCAAGCTGCTCTATATATAGATTTCAGGTTGCCTCAGCCTGTATGCATCTTTAATTGCTAGTAACTCTTAAGATTTAACAAAATGAGTTATACCCTCTGAATTATTTAACATGACTGGTTCTTATTATGGAGTTTCTATTTGCTGCTTGAACTGGGAGAAGTAGAGACATAAGGTTTGCACTTTGCAGTAAAGTCTGCAGGCACTCTTTCCATTGTGATTCTAGGTGGGGACGATACCATACAAATGAGAAGGAAATTAGTGGATTCCAAGAGTGAAGGAGTCCAATGGGGACGGGCCTGCCAGCCAATTAAGGCAATGGTTTTGTAAAAAATTGTAGAAGTTGTAGCAGGCCCTATATGGTTATCAACTGGTGTTGACAGAGGGAAATTTGGTAAGCCAATGACAGAAGGGATCGTAGAATGAAATAACTGAAGGGCGGGGGATGGTGAGAGAATGTTTAATATCAATGCATAGCTTCATTGATAGATGGTAAAAATAAATGGCAAATTCAAATAACTGTCTTCTATACCTTTAGCATTTCCCAACATTTGCCTAATAATTGCCTGTAGAAATTTAAAGCACCAAATTATCATTTACTCTCTATTCACCCATTGTTAACCCCCTTTGACTTGGTAATCCTTGAGACATGTTGGTTTCTTGTGCCTCTTTGGCCTTGCTGCATCGCTAAGGTCATTGTTTGTTGATCTGGCCTTATCTTTGTATCAATTCCCTTTTCCTTTAAAAGAAAGACCTTGTCCACTGAGTTCTGGTTGGAATATATGGCATAAAGATCTTTATCGTTAATCCATATCACTTCATCCGAGGAGATGCCGGCACATTGGATGCGGTGTTTCCATGTAGTGTGTGTACCATTGGAAATTTGACAAGAAATTAGAATTAGCTCCAGTTGGTTGATTGGTTGGTTTTTAAGTGAAGCTGGAGAAAGTGGGCTTGGATGTAAACTACAGTTCACTGAATGGTTTTTCCAAAGTAGTCCTCAAATTATTAATGTATGACCAATTTTTTTTCCTAAAGTATCACATTATTCCAATTTAGAACATCTACCATACAAAATTTATCCAAAATGATTTCTTATGTTATAATTGTGATTGATTATAGTTTAATCCCTAGACTATATAAAATTGATCCAAGTTAGTCCCGAAGGGACTATTGCAGATTGATTTTGTATAATCGATGTATTTAATTGGAGTTACTTGATATTTTGAGATTGAATTGATCATATATAAATAGTTTGGGGGCTATTTTAAAGTAAACCTTTTCTTACGATAGATATATGAAAAATTGGATGTTTTTGAGAGTACGCCGGAAGCTTTATATAATTTCTAAAGAAGGCATTGACCACTTTGTTAGATGGCCTAGACTTGCACTCGATTGTGAAACTGATGCAATCAAAAATTTGGGTCCCTCTCCCAAATTTTTGATTGCATCAATTTGGTATCAGAGCAAGTTTAGGTAATCCTAGATTTAGATTTGTGATTTGTCAAGTCTTGTTTTGTCAAGTCTTTATTTTGTTTTCAAGTCAAAGTCAAGTTGTGAGTCTTGTAAGTCTTATTGTCGTGAGTCTTAAGTTGAATCTAAGTCTTTTTTAGGTGGAGTCTTTTTTGAGTTTTTTGAGTCGT